CCACCAGATGAGAAAATTGAACTGTCAAATAGAAAAAAATAAACTGGCACATATGGATAAATTTTGCAACATTTCTTACACCTAACCAACTAAAAGACAGGCTGCCATTATGTCAGAATGTACAAATAACGACTGCAAAGGAAGTATTCAATAGTTCCCTACTCATTCTAGTGTAATATTTTTGTACGCTATTTTATTTACTATTTTTGTAAAAATAAAATTCTTAGATTCACTAGTAAGCAATTTTGAATATTTATGTTAATGCTTCAGTTATTTTAATATATAAAAAATTAAAATTAAGTCATTTATATAAGTCATTATTTCCTTATGATCTAGTTTTTGTTCTAAGACTCGTAATATTTGCAAGGTGGGAAGTCGTTGCCAAACACACAAGCTGAAACACATAAGAGACAGACCTATAGTGGTAGGAAGAGTAGTAATATTTACAGTTTGAGGGCTTACTGTGCTAAACTTTTTACTTGTCTTATTTATTCCTCATACAGTCTTATTACATAAGCACAGCTATATTTATTTTATGGATAAAGAAACTGAAGTTTAGAGAGATTAAGCAGCTTGCTTAGGGTTACAGAGTTTTCCAGGTATAAAGACAAGCATTAAGGAAATGGATGGGAATACTACATAAAGAACAGTTTAGTTGCTGTAATAGAAAAATAATAGAAAGATTCAGGACAAAGAGAAAGGCTTCACTTGGAGGTGTGACAGATCATGGAAAGGGAAATAATGAGTAAGTCATACACTTTGAAGTCACAGGGTTCATTGAAGGGAGTTGGAGGTTTGGCTCCAGAGATAAATCTGAAAGAGATCTTTGAGGCCACAGTATAGAGGCTCAGTGAGTGCTAGATGGAGAAGTTTAGATCTTAACTGGTAGTGGTGGAACACTGTTAGCCCTTTAAAGAGAGAACTAATTTGATGAGATCTTGTTTAGAAATCAACTCTGTCAGCAATATCACTATAATAGTAAAACCAGAGTGAGACTAAAGACAGGAAAACCAGTTAGGTGGCTGTTAGGAAAGTTTAGGAGAGAGAAGAATAAAGCCCAGAGTAAGAGTGGTGTTGGGGATTGAAAATGGGGATGAACAGGAAGACTTCTAAGGCAGAATGGGTAAAGCTTGGTTACCAGGAGATTTTTTAGGATAGGTTATTAGATAGATGGGGAACATAGGCCAGTTAGATGGGAGAAGACCCTCAGTGGTTGGTGGACTTGTTATGTTTAACGTGTTTGTAGGATGTCCAGATAAAGATGTCTAGTACACAACTTAAAATACTGGACTAAATGGTTATTTATAAGATTTCCACTACTTGTATAGGTATTTTTAGTTTCTGTACTTGGCAGACAAGCAGCTCTTTAATATTTTTGTTTATATTTTTCCTGATTTTTGTAGTCAATTAAATGAAAAGCCCTTACCTGAAGGCTGGGAAATGAGATTCACAGTGGACGGAATTCCATATTTTGTGGACCACAATAGAAGAACAACCACCTATATAGATCCCCGCACAGGAAAATCTGCCCTGTAAGTTTTCTAAACCTTGTAGATTAAAAGTAAAATCTAATTCCTTGGATTTTGATATAACGATCTGAACTAGCAAGGAGTGGAAGTCTTACTTTTTCTTGAGTTGGCTTGCCAGTAGGTCTCTGCTCACTAAATATTTTGCATTTCCATCTCCCTCCTGAATGTTTTATCTTAGAGTCTTCATATTTGTTACCATCTGTTCACACAGCATTAAATGAAACTATTTAAAAATTATTAATACAGTACTGTTTAATAATTAGTACCTGTTTTCTTTCATTCCCATTCTTTTTTTTCCTTTTTTTTTTTTTTTTGTGACCGGCTGCACCGTGCTCAGCCAGCGAG